ACCACCGAAGGCTCCAGACATTGTGCAGCACTGACAAGCTGTTCCCACTGTGTCCTGTCCAGACGCCTGACCCAAAGAATCTGTGAGCAGAATCAAATGGCTGTTTTATGCCACTAAGTGTTTTACACAGCAATACAAACTGGGACAACATTTGCTATGATTCTATACAGCAATAGAAACTGGGACAACATTTGCTATGATTCTATGGTTTTCTTTAGTGTAAGAAACTTTTGCGGCAGATTCTGTACAGGACACCTAAAAGAATCTGGGAAAGGCCTAAGGGAAATAAGGTTTAAACACAGCATCTGCTCTCTCCCTGGGAGAACCAGTTTTCATTACGTATCTGGACTCATGATGAACAACGAGGACATCCACTGTGACCGGCCACCTGTTCTGCTCCGGGCAGTGGTACTTTACAGACGCTCCCTGTCAGCCCCAGAAATTCAGAGAGGCTGAATAATTTGCTCAAGTCCCAGAGGAAGTAAATGGAAGAGCTAGGATTCACCTTTCCTGGAGGGAGAAGAGTAAGGGGCAATACCTGTGCCATTCTGAGTCGGCCCCTTTTAAGGAATTTTCCAATGGCTTCGACTTACATCTCATTGGCCAGAACCTGCCTATGGCTGACCCTGTCCTCAAGGAAATCGGGGAAATATGTTTATTCTAAGCTGGTTATATTGTTAATATTCAGGAGCAGAAAATGGGAACAGAAGTTAGGTAGAGCATTTCCAGTGTCTGTTTCACTGACTAAAAACCAAATGTGAACATCAGAAAGGAAGCCCCCAGTTGACAACGAACTCCAGCCTGGGCCACCTGTCAGAGACTCTTGCTTGAGAAGCTCTCCAACTGACTGATCATGCGGTGTCCTTTCTGGTTACCTTCAACCCAGGGGAAGTCCCACCCCACAGCTTCTGCTTTTCGTGGATGGCCCTTCTGGTGGAATTCAGGGAAGGGAGGAAGACAGTGGGGTCTAGACAGCCATTCCAGATCCTAAGCCATTTATTTGCTCCACCGCCACAAAAGTGGACATTTCAGTAACTTACTGGTGCATCACAGGTTACCTCAAAACTTAGTGGCTTAATATTCTTCAGTGAATGGATAAATGAACTGTGGTACATGCAGACAATGGACATTGTTCAGCACTAAGAAGAAGGAGCTGTCAAGCCATGGAAAGACATGGAGGAATCTTAAATGCATATTACTAAGGGAAAGAGGCCAATATGAAAAGGCTACACACCACATGATTCCTATTATGTGACATCCTAGAAAAGGCAAAACTTCTGAGATAGTAAAAGATTATTAGATGGAGGTAGGGATGAATGGGCAGAGGGCAGAGGGCACTGAAACTACTCTGCATGATAATACCATGGTAGATATATGTCATTCCACATTGGTCCAAACCCATAGAATGGACACACCACTAGGAGTGNCTGCATGATAATACCATGGTAGATATATGTCATTCCACATTGGTCCAAACCCATAGAATGGACACACCACTAGGAGTGAACTCAGATGTCAACTACGGGCTTTGGTTGATGATGCGTCAACGTGGGCTCATGAGCTGTAACAAATGTACCACTCTGGTGGGGGGTGTTGATAATAAAGGAGGCTGTGCATGTGTGGGGACAGGGAGTTTATGGGAAATCTCTGTACCTTCTGCTCAATTTTATCGTGAACCTAAAACTGCTCTAAAAAAATAAAGTCTACTTAAAAAA